ACGCCCCCCTCCCCGCTCCCCTGCTGCCTCCTCCTTTCATCTGCATTTTCCTTAAATGCTGCTGTTTCTAATTCTCCCTCTTTAGACTCTGGTCTCACTCACGCTAGCCATTCCCTTTAGGAGATTTGAACCACTGGGCTTCAAGCTCTTTTGCTCATGAATCTGCTAAGACGGAAACCACGTGCCCCTTGGCGCTGCCTTGTTCGACACCCACATTCTAGACCCAGTTTAAATGGCTGCAGAGCGACTAGTTAAGAGGGTTTTGCACACGCACAAATCTTCTCTAAGGGTCAGAAGTCATGCATCATTCTTCTTTCTGCTTTAACTCCCAGTTCCATTCCACTCGCCCCACAGAGTTCTCACGCTTTACTGACGTGGAAGTCACACACTACACAATTCCTCCATTTGTACAAATTTTCTGACGTGCACCATTTAGTGGTTTTCAGCATATTCACAGAGTTGTGCAGCTATCACCACAGTCAGTTTTAAATCACTGCCAGCACCCCAAAAGAAACCCTGCACCCCGCTCCCTGCTCCCCCACCATAGACCCGAACGACCACCCCGTTTTCCGTCTGCAGGTTCACTCACTCTGGACGCTTCATACACACACAGTCACACAACACAAGGTCTCCCGCGACTGGCTTCTTCCGGGCGGCGGCACGTCTCCGAGGCGCAGCCCTCTCGCAGCCCGACCCGCGCCCACTCCTCTGAGCTGCCCGACGCCGCCCCTGCCGGGGAGGCCGCGTGCTGTCCGGCCGTTCCTCAGGTGAGGGCATTCGGGCGGTTTCTGCTTCTTGGCTGTTGTGAATAATGCTGCCGTACACATTCGCGTACAATTTTTTTGTGTTGCTAACAGATTTTAAACCAAATTTATTTTTATGCTTCAAAATCTTTTACCAATAACCTTTCCGTGTAGCTCATCCGTAAACTGTGCACATAATTCAAGATTAAAATGTTTAAAATTTCTGTGACCGTCATCTACACAGCACACACAGAAAAGTTCTTCTGGGGGAGGGTACAGCTCAGCGGCAGAGCACATGCTTAGCATGCGTGACGTCCTGGGTTCAATCCCCAGCACCTCCATTAAAAAATAAATAAACGAACAAACTTAAGTACCTGCCCCCTCCAAAGAAATTCTTCTGACTGAAGTGAGGTAAATTCCAGTTTTTAGTAGCACCCAATGACTCAGAGCATCGTAAGGATACCACAAAATTTGGACAATTATTAAACATGAAAGGTAGAATCTTAGTGGAAATACAACCCTTGACAAGGTGAACTGGGTTTGTTTTCCAGCGATTAGCTCATGGGTCTGCGGGTGCCCCGTGACTGTAATGACACATTCCAGCGTAGCGGCATCACAACTTTGCCTTTTACAGACGCAATCACGAGAAACTCCTCTCAAACAGGTGAAGAAACACGTGTGCCACTTAGAGCCGTGCTGCTCACATCTCTGAGACCTGCACGAGGCAGAGCCCCAGGCTCGCCCTTTAATCCATCGTCAGAAGTTACATCCAGGTGTCCCCTGGACACGGTGGGAACTGCAGCCCACACCACGTGGCTTGTGCAAGGAGGCATCAGCGGGGCTCACGCCTGCATCAGCCCTTGGAGCCCAGGAGACTGTCGCACACTCCTCAGAACACACCAGAGCAGAGATGTGTCTTTCTCCTGTAAACTGGGAGACAGACTAACTCCAGGGGGATCCACTTGGGAAAGGGGTGTATGTACGAGCAATGAACATCTGGAAACCGCTCCTCTGGCCCGGACCACCGATTTCACTTTCTTCACTGCCTGCCTCTCCCTCCACGACTTCCACTGCCTGCTGCACTGCCGGCCGGGTCAGCCCTCTGCTCCCTGGAGAGCCGCACGCCGAGCTAACCTCCCCCCAGGTCTACCGCCCTCCCCAATTCCCAAGCACCCTCGCCCTTTCTCTCCCCACAGCCACCAGATCGATATGCCACGGAGGTGAATCCCTTCAAGGCCCTGCCCCACTTGAAAGCCATCCCTCTGCAAGTGAAGCACTTCCTCTGAGGGAGCAAGGGAAGCCAGCTATCTCCAGGGACACAGCTGGAGCCCTCAGCCTCTGACCCTCTGACCCCCGGCTGAGAAGGGCCAGACCTCCAGGAGAAGCCAGGCTAGTGGCTAAAAGGCTGGACTCTGGACTAGGACCGCCTGAGTCACAGGCAGTTACTGGAAATGTAACCTTTAACCTCTCTGAGCCAGTGTCTTCATCTTCAGAGGATAATGACACCATCTTTCTTAAAAGGGCAGGTACGAAGAGTAAGTGATCAGATGTGTGTAACGTGCGTAGCACGGTGTCTGGCATACGGGGCGCTAGCGTAAATCCAGCTGCCACCACCGTGAAATAAACAACCCACGTCTTAAGCTGGGTGTCCACTGCCCTCCAGGCCCCCCCACAACGCGCTCCCCGGCTCTAGGCAGAGCCTAGCGAAGGCCGGGAACCCAGGGCTCCTGTTTGTTTGTTCTTTTCATGCCAAGTCATTGTACTCTGGCCACCGACCTCAACTGGAGGAAACACAATGGACTTTCCATACGTTTCGGGTTTTCATCTGTAAGGGTCAACGGCAGAACAGCTCTGAGCAGAGAAGTGCACAAAGTTAGCCTCTTTCTCTGGGTCCCCCGGCCTTCTAGGTGGTTATCTGCAGCTCTTCTGCCCTTTCCGGGGCGACGGCTCACTGAGGGAGAGCGAGAACCCCACGCCGCCGGTGCCACCCCCCCGCCCCAGGCACTGAGCAGGCCTGGCCGGCGGGCAGTCACCTCCCTGAGTTCAGAGGCGCCAGGGCTCAGAGTCCCTCTGCCTGGGCTCACACTCTCTGCCCGAGCGCGGCGGGGGTGACTCAGCCTCCGAGTTCTAGGGCACTCGGCTTGAAGGCAAAAAGAACAGTGCCTCCTCTGTGGGTGACCACGAGGACGGACGGGAGGGGAGAAGGCCACTGAAGCACAGTGGCCAGCCTGTAGGAGGCAGGCAGGCAGGGCCGTAGCCAACGGCACGTCCCAGATGCTGGTTCAGGGACGCTGGGCCCCCAGGCTCGTCCACAAGGGACCACCTCCCACTGCTGGACCGAGACCACATTAACTGGCTCTATGTTGAACGTCCACCTTGTGACATGACACCAGGATGTCTGTGAATACTGGTGAAGAGAAATTTCTGACTTCTGTGAATGTTTGCACACTCTTAGCTACCAAGCACTGACTTTTGAGGGAACCAGTTTTCTATTATGAAAATAAACCAGCAGGTATACATACAAGTTATTTCAACTTTTATCTCTGTCTACAGTCCACCTTCCCATCAGGAGTTCTCTAAACTTTCTTTCTGGGGCTGAGGAAACTGTAGCTTCCTGCCACTTCCCCGATTAACACACTTGCAGTAACGTCTCCTGGCGATTCAACTACGTGATCAAAATAGGAAAGAGACTTCCTAAAAGTTCAGCCAAAGTTAGACATCACCAGCTCTTAATAAGTGGCTCATTACAATCCTTTTCTTGTTACTAATTCTTTAAAAGAAAACTAACTCAAGAATCTTAATTATGCAGAACCACAGAACAATGGCAAAGACTGATTTTCTCCTTTTTCTAAACAATGCAAGACAAGTGCTTCTCCATTTATATTCATTTTCACTTTCCAAGAACGGGAAAAAACATTTAAAGAATTTCACCAACACATTACCGATCAGAAAGAGGATTTATCAGACTATTACAAGTCTCTGAAAACAAGTCTGAGACTCAGCAGTAAGTTTCCCTGTTTACGCACCATCCCCTTCCAGTCTTCTTACTTGTATTTAAATTAGTGACACACCAGCTCGCAGTCTGATCTTCTGCAGCAATTTCCCAGGTGCAAAACGTGTGACCCTGCGGAGACGAGGTGACTCAGCGCGTGTGAACTGCAGACCTCAGGTTTCGAGGGTAGACGCCTTTCTCTCCTCTTGCAAATACTGCTGAGAAGATACCAGGAGGAGATTTTTTTTTAAATTTAAGGTTTAAAAGATCATAGAATCTAAATATATGCCTCTCTAGCCAAAAAAAAATATATATATATATATATGTATACATAATGGAGAAAAGAGAAATAAGACTTTCATAAAAACAATTTTAATCTGATTGCTAAAAAGACTGTTGGACTTAAGGACATTATCATTTAAATTGCCCCGGCAGGAAAGACCTCACGGATGCTAAAAAGGTGAGGAAGCTGGTGTGTTTGCACCTTTCTCCTATTGTTTAAGTGGAGTCATTTTTTTCCACCTGCAGGATAAACAGAGCACAGTGAAGAAAGAACAGGCCTGCAGAAATCGAGGCTTGTTTACGCAGAGGCGAAGAAACTAACTTTTCTTTGAATGGCAAGGACCGCACAGCTGAGAAGCCAAGAATTCCGAGCGCTGTGCTTTTCCAGCGGCGTGCACCCTAGCGGTTCCCAAACCTTGCAGGTGATCGGAGCCACACGGGGAGGTTTTTGTAAGTGCAGATTTACAGTGCTCTTCCTGCCCCCAGCCCTGATTCAGTAGGTGTGGGTGGGGCCCAGGAATCTCTGAAACATTCACCCCGTGACTGCTAGGCCGGCTGCTCTGGGGTCACAGCCGCTGAAGCACAAAGCTGCCGCCAAGCCAGCGGTGAATGACCACAGCCACCGCCCGGCGGGCTGTGCTTCGTGTCCTGAAGAGTCAGACCACTTCTTAGCTGAAAGCTGTGATAAGATAATTAGTGACATTCTTAAGTGTCTTCACTTTGAAAAGCGATTTCGGCACACGACCTCGCCCCCAGTTCCTGTTAACAGGGACGAGCTGCACATGCTTGTCTGAAATAGAGTCCTGAGCCCCGCCCTGTGCGAGCTAGCTTCCTCTGATTCTCTCGTGTAATCTTCCCAGCCATCCCTGGAGGTAACTGCAATTATCCCCATTTTACAGATGAGGAAGTGGAGGCTGTGAGACGCAAACTGTTCCAGTGATGAAGCCAAGACTCAAACCCAGGGCTTCCACTGGTTTGTTGGTTGGCTGGTTATTTGGAGGAACTTACACATGAGGTCTGGATCCGCTCAAATCTTCAGGACTCTCTGGCCTGGGGTGCTCTTCATGAGCTGGTCATGTTGGGCAGGGGGCCAGCCGCTGGGCAGATACAGGGAGCACCAACAGCTCCCTGCTTTGGAAGGACCTTCCTGGCCCCTCCACAGGGCGGAGAGAGGGAACAAGGAACCATCTCATGAGCTCCTCCTGCGCTTTGTTCCCTCCTGTCTCCAGGAGCGCAGGCTGGGCTGTTGGACCTGCCCATCTGCTCTTCTGATTCAGAAACGCGTCCACTTGTGCGGGGAGGGCGTTGTGGGGGGAGGGTAGAGCTCAGCGGCAGAGAGCATGCTTAGCATGCACGAGGTCTTGGGTTCAATTCCCAGTGTCTCTATTTTAAAAAGTTAACAATAATAATAAACAATAAATAAGTAAAACCTAATTCCACACTCCCCAAAAGAAAAACAGTGCGTCCACCCAGATTATAGCCACAGAGCTCCGAGGTATGTTGGTGGGCGGGGCCTCTTTGAAAGACTTCACAGAGGATGTGGCTTAGAGCCGAAAGGTAAAGGATGAAAAGATGTCACTAAGCAAAGGGGAGGGAGGGGGTCATAGGCCCGGCGTGGCCTGTGCCAAGCCTGCCACGTCGCCATGTCCAGGAGGCCAGGAGGCTGAGGTGCGCTGGCTGTAGAGGCCACAGAATGGGGGGGTGGAGGCCAGGGAAAGACCGAGAAGGGGATTTCACGCTTGGTGAGGCGCTCAGACCAAAGGATGCACAGGGAACCAACAGTGGCTTTTATGAGTGGGGTCATGGGACGAAATTTGGATTTCAGACAGATAACGCTGGAGAATGTGGAGGGGGGCTGGTGGGGCACAGGGTGGGAGCGATGGGGGACAGGGTGAGCCCGCTACAGTGTCAGGGACCTGACCAGCACCAGCCAGAGCCGTGCCCTCAGGTGAAAGGAGGGGCCTCACTAGAGAGGGGTCTGAGGCTCAGGGTCTGTGCTCTGGAGTGGGGGGCTGAACACAGGCCCCAGACCCCTGGCCTGGATCCTGGTCAGGGTTGGGGGCTGACCGGCTGCAGGCCGAGGGTACATGAGGGAGCAGGGAAGAGCCCAGGTTTTCCCCAAGGTCTCTACCCAGTGGGTGAAGGCACATGGTCAGCCTGGTTGGGGACCCCGAGCGGACCTGGCATGAAAGAGAAGGCAGGGCCTTGCCCTGAGACGCGTGGAGCTGGGATGCCTGCAAGACTTTGTTTTACGAATGGTTAGTTGGAAACACAGATGGAACGAGGGGTCAGCACTAGAGGAACAGATTCATGAGTCATTCGGGATCATATTGGAAGCCTTGGGGACAGAGTTTCAGGGGACGGGAATCCCTAAAGCACACGGATGGGGAACCAAAGCAGCAAACACAGCCGCTCAGCAAACGCGCTGAGAGCCAGCTGC